CTGTTGAAGTAAAAAACTTTTCAAAAGAAAAAAGATTTTTTTTTAAAAAAAAAGGTCATACTCAGCAAAAGCAAAATGAAAGAACGACCTTTACTTTGATCAATCAGCCGATAAAAGGAGAAAAAATAATCACAAAAAGTGCGAGGAAAAAGGAAAAAAAGTAGGTCGGATGCAATGGGCGTGTACGCAGCATTTGCACACGCCTGAGTTTTCAACAAAGTCTCTATTCAAGCTTTTGCTCAAAGCCCTTTTTTTTACTAGAGACAACGAAAAAATTCACTGCTTGCTTTTTCCAACTAATTTAAAAAGATGCTTTGAACAGTTTTGAGGTATTTGGATTAATAGTGTATACGTACAATAAATGATACTGTCCGTTTATTTATCTAATTCATTTACAAGTATTGTAATTACTTGATGGATTGTGTAATTTTTTTCTACATTCTGTTACGTAAGTATGCGATGAACTTAAAATCATTTATAATCACAAAAAAAATTAATAGTAAATTAAAGCTCAAATATAATAGAACCACTGAATTCTATAAAAAATATTTACTAATGATGAATTTAAAGAATCGACACTTACATAGGTTTGAACAAGTGAAAATTCAGTAAAATGTTGGAAAAGTTTTTTCAAAAATATTTTCATGGATGATTTAATGGATGTATTATTCAGTTGATAAACTATTATCCAAACCAAAACCTGTTATAAAAAATACTAATTTAGCACATCGTTTTACAAATTTGTCATTATAAAGAGAACTTTTTGCATGATCCCTATTTTTCAGAGCAAACACAAAAACTAGCATTACCACTACGTATTGAGTTGCCAAAAAATGTATTCGCACCAAGAAACAAAGCATTTACAGCTACACAGCCACGCAGATGGGCACTTCGTTCTAATTGACTGAGAACAAAAAGCTCCTTTAATCAGCACTTAACTCCAAAACTATCAGTTTCAATGTACGGAAAGGCAACTTTCGTCTTTGCTCACAGCCCAGAGCTTCCCCTTCTCTTCTCATTATGCACGTACCGATCCATGCGCCCGAATTTCTGCCCGAGTATGGATACTGCCGCCATGTACTACCAAATATACCCAGGGTACAAAGGATAGGCGCGAAAAGGGCGTGCGATCCCGTAATTCGTGATAAAAGCTTCTCGTATTTCATTTAATTAAACGAGCCGGGGCGAGCGCTATCTTTCCCTTTGGCTCCCGCGCTCGGACACTTTGGCTTCATCTATATTTCCACGAGGGCAAAGTGGAATGGAGCCGAAGGAGAAAGCTGCGGGTAGAGAAGCGTCGAGCTCGGGGTGCGACAGTCGGCGCTTTGGGAAAATGAGAAAGTTCGTGGCGTTGATTTTGGTGTGGCTTCGTTAAGGTTTGGTCCCTTTTTTTCTCCATACATCTGGACATACTCAAACCGCGAAGTTTATTGTACGTGTCCGAATGATTGTGGCATCCTTACAAATAGTTTCATGTTAGAAATAATGGTCGATTAAATAAAATCTAATTTTTAGTTGTAGCGAAGAAACAATAAAAATAGTTTTTTAACATCATGAACTCAATGAGGAGCCCATTTGGTTTTCACCCACTTGTCTTAATACATACTTTAAAAACCGTCGAAATTCACGCTTTGTATAAGCCAAATGTACTCGTATGTATGTATATCTCCTTTCATAATTATTCATAGGTGTTTTTAGTGTCCAACACAATTTTCTAAATTTTTTCATGTTTTCTCCACACCAATGCTTCATCATACAATTCTGTTGTCATTTAATTATACTCAATTTTTTTTAAAATAATTTATGATAAGAAGCCATAAGATAAAGTCGTTATATTTATTACAAAACCTAATTAAAATTAAAATTATAGCTGTGATTCGATGCTGCCGATTCTTAGAAAATTCACCAAACAAGTAATTTATCTTAATGAGTTGCACATAATAAAATGCTTTTTTTTCACGTGACGACCAATGTTTAAAAAAAAGATGATACCCTATCGTATTCTATCTTATAAGATTAATTGTCACGTAACTGAAACCTTTTTATTCTTTGCAGTAATAATGTTTGAAATTAATTTACCTTACACCGTGACAATAATCTGAAGTGATACTATTTCTCTTGTTTCTTAGGCGAAAATATAAAAATTGCATGTACGTATAGGTAGAAAATATCGTTAAAACTTTGATTGAAACTTTGGTTTATTCTACTGCTAAATAAGCCAATTAATAAATACTATCCGTTTTTGTAACGAATATCTTCAGGTTTAACTTAAAATGAACATCTGCTGTGGAATACAATAACATCATTTTTCTTCGTCCAACGTCGGATGTCCATTATTCTGTGTGCACTTCCCGTCTGTATTTCATATTTTCAACAGCTAAGTCCAGGACTTACACGCAAAATATAGCCCATAATATTTATTTCCTGAATATTTGGTTTATCTGTTTCTAAAATTATTTTCATCTCTGCGAATTTTATCGGAAACTATATATTCATAAAATAAAGGAATCGTTTCCTTCTCCAACACAAATGTTAACAAAAAGTTTTCCGAGCTCGAAATATTTTGTGAACTCGAAGTCCAGGGAATGTTAAATGTTTGAAAAATTCGAGCTCCTGCGATACATTTTTTCTCGCATTTTTTTTCTTTTCTTTTTTTTTCATATCCATGCAAATTCTGCGCTTGCAGAAAAAATTTTTATCGAAACTACGAAACAGACGGTAAACTAATTGCTTTTTAATTCACCTCGAAGCTTCACTTTAGTTTGTTAATGAATTTTTAAAATGAATATTCAAGGTGGAATTATAGCAACAACAACTTTTGCATGAGCGTGTCAGTCTGAGATTTTTTAATCGTGAACTGTCACTCGTGTTTCAGCTGTACGAGAAAATTGCTCACCACTGCATGAATTTCGTGTTGTAATTCACCAATAACATCCTTAATTACCTAATTTAACTATCCGTTGTTTGACAATATTATCTTATAGTTATCAGATATTTATTGTATAACAAATACTAATTAACTGGACCTACGACTATAAATACAATAACCAATAACGTAGTATAGTACATCCATCAGCACTTTTACGATTGATTCGAATAAAAAATCTTTTACCCAAATACAACTGCTTTACATGTGACACACATAGACTGGCTGTAAAGTAAAATGGAAACATTTACTATTTAATAAGAAAAGTTGCTAAAAACATTATCGTGAAGCTACAGTAAAAATTATGGTCAAGATTCGTTGGTCACAACTTTACCGTTGCTGTAACGCTACGGGCCGTCGAGCCAGAGAGCGCTTTAATTACGACTACGTGAAAAAGGGAGTGAACCATGAGTTGGTGGGTCTGTCCGGTCACTCGAGCCATTTCGTACATGATTTTATCGACATGTCACTGAGGATGCATACTCGTGCAAAATGGACGAACTCTCGCCCGCTAGAGCTTTCGCAAACTTCCAAACGCACATCATAAAAGCGACGACTATACGCAATAGCATGTTGAGATTAACGTTGTAAATCTTGCTCTTTATTAATTTTTTTACTCTCAGATTAGAGTTGACACCATTAAAATTGTAAATCCAATGAATTCTCCTTAGTTGTCCTGAGCAACGATATAATGAAATTTCCGTAGGATCCAACATAAGGACTGTTTTTTGGAATAGTTGAGAACATCATATATGTATTACATTATAGATAACCATGTCAAGCCATAATTTTCAGTACTGAAAAGCTACGTAGGACGACAACTCGAGTTTTCAAGTTTTGATGTTCCATCACAAATTTACAACCTATGAGTTTATTCCGTCGATCGGAACGCTGACGCAGGACGTCTAAAAAAAGTCCCTCTTTCTCGGTCAGAGGACACAAATGCTCAATGATATTCAAGGACAAACTTGCCCGCAAAGTTTCCGTTCGTCACATCGTTTAACTACACAACCACTACGCCATGCATTTGTCATTACCCAGAAAAAAGTTTGGTCTCGCATTTGCCGAAGGATACACCGTTCAGCATTTGCAAACGGCTAGCCGGATAAACGCCGTCGATGCTTTTTTATTTATTACTTCAATCGGCCCTGGATCCGACAATAGTGAGCCACGCTCGTCGATAGCCTAACCTTGAACTCTTCGATACACGCTAGTTCACCACCTCATTCCATTTTTCGTGTTCATGGAAACAGGTACGGAAAAATAACGGGTCAGTATCGATTTTACCGTCAGCCCTTCGTAGTTCAGTGCAATAGAAATAGATAAAAATGGACAGGCACGAGCTTATGTGTATCGTAGGTTGTGGCAGAAAGGTCATTGTCGTGTCGTGGCCTTCGTTACATAGATAGGCCCATCGTCCGAGAGATGGTATGGTCGCATAAAAAATGCAAGAAAGGAAAACGAACTAGCCTCGACGTGGCGAAGGTTGGCATTGATTGCACGTGTGTGTCCGTTATTTTTATGCGAAAAATCGGCTAATGCATCGGGAAGGTTCGACGATTGCACGGATGGAATATTGAGCAGCCTAATTATAAAAGATCTTTTTTTTTTTTTTTAAGAAGATAAACATTTTTTAAATTGACACTTGTATCATCGTTTACAGTAGAATAATAATTTTTACTATAAATCTAGAGTTTTTGCGAACTTGTAGGAAAATTTTGTGGTATTTGTTTCTTTACTATTATGTGGGTGAAGGGCTTTTGTGGAATACCCCACACAAATAACTATATAATCTAGTTTATGTATACAGACATTAATTACTTATGGATCTGAGTACTGACTCATCAACTGCCTATGATTGTTTACAGAATAAAAATCAATATCACAGTGACTTTTCAATTTTTTTTCTGATATAAGTATCGTGACAAAAAAAAAGTAAACTTCGATTAACAAAACATGTTACAAAAATAATATGAAATGTTGATAAATTGTTACAAACAAAAAAAAAACTTTTCACACAGTTTTATTACAATCATTTGTAGTATTGAAGTATTTCTTTTTCTTTATGTTACAGGTAAGTTATTGAAAACGGATATCTCTAGCCAGCACAGCAGTAAACAAAAAGGTCTTCTCTGTCTATATCAATTAAATAAAATATACATTTTTATTGATGTTTCTAAAAACTCTTATTTTTTAATTTCGGTTCATGCATTATTTATAAACATTCGTCAGAATTTTTCGTCCAAGTTTCCGAAAAACATTACAACGCTCGATCAAACATTTTTCTTCGTACTACAATGTCTATTAATCTTCTATACATGCTTTTGTTCACATTCGGGGTAAATAATGACTCAACATTTGATGGGGGACAAAAGTTTAGTTTGGCTCATCATTTTTACTTTCGCCGTGTCACGCTCGAACGAGCAATTCTCACGTACATTGTTGGTATAACAAATGCAGGAATGAACATCCCCACGTTAAAAAAGAATAATCTCCTTTTTCAAGACGCAGGAGGCACACCCCGAAAATTAATTCCAAGAAACCTTCTTGCGAGGCTCGTTCGTTGATAAACTACCCATTGCCATATCCTTGGCTGAGCGCCAACCAATCCGGTCTCGACTATCTTCTCCTGCTAAGATAATGGACCCAATAGTCGAACAGCCCCACGCGTACGCATTGTAAATCCAACCTTACCTCCATATATAATAGTAAAAAATACATGGTTGATCAACTATATTGGTGCCTGGTCGAGTATTGGGTTATTGGGATTTCTTATCCCGCAATTCCAGACCGAACTCAATTGGCTGGACATTGTCTCTTTCCATGCCTTTTTGGGATTGGGAGTGACGAGGAGAGGTTAATCGTCTCAAGCTAATGGCAGTTTGCACGGGAAAACTATCGGTTCAACTTCTTTTTTTCGCTGAACGGGGTATATTATTCCGATTCGAAACAAATTGTAACTGGTGGCGGTGCGTTGAGCCTAAAAAGGGGAACTAAAACATTGGAGTTCAAAATGTAAAGAGACAAAAAATACAGGTCAAAACAATGGAAACTCGGTTAAAGAGAAAATTTGTTGCATTATTTATGGCAGCGTATCTTGTTGTAAGAAAAAATTGTAGATTATTCCATTGGTGAATATTTTTGAGCTTCAACCGCCAGAAGTGCTCGCACTGGTGAAGGTTTTAGTTCTCGCTTCGGTCACCATCGCCCATTACACCACTAGTCGCGTCTCACCTCGAATCCTGGTTTCTCGTGCGAATTGCAGCCTCTTTTCCAATTTGCATATTGGAAGACAGAAGTTTTGTAAAATTCTTACGATGAAGAGTTTTTCAAAGCTTTGGTAAACAAATTTTTCTGTCAAATGAAAAAAAAAGAAGAAAGTTTCTTTCTTCCCTCCCGAAATTCAAAAGTTTGCCTGTGGAATTTCAAAGTACCGCGTGAGCCGCAGATTGCATTTAGGAATCACCGCGTTACCTTTCGGTATTTCTCAGGAGCTCAGCGAATGAAACTTTTTGCCTGTATGTTACACGTGAGTGGGAGTGAGAGAGCTCGTCTTTCTTTCTCGACGACTGCTAACGTGAATACCAATTTTCAAATTTGGGGATTCGCGTTGGCCCCAGTCCAAAAACAAAAATGGATGTCGATTTGTTCCAGATGACCGAATAACTCGTGTTTAGCTCCGAAATTTACCATAAATTTGATTTTTAAAATAGTTTTTCCTTACCTCTTTGAGTAAAATGAAACCGGGCACGGCAAATGGAATAAACTCATAAACTCGTTTTTCTTTTCCTTTATTTTGAAAACATGTTGAGGTATTGACAATTTTTTTAAAATACTTCATTTTTTTTTTTTTTCAATTATCTGGGTTGTTTGTAACTAACAAGTTTTTTTTATTTCAACTGCAACTTTTTGTACTATAATGTGGATTTCTTAGTCTATTAATAATTAAAAATAAGTTACCAGTATTTTATCAAATTCTATTAACTTAAAAAAATTTTCAGGAAAGATAGTGCATTATATTTAAAAAAAAAAAAAACTTTAAAAGTAAGAGTGTAAAAGTACTCAAATACTTTTTCAATAAGTATTTTTTTTAAACTGCTCTCCTTAAAAATATGTCACAATTTTTTTTGCAAGAAAACTTTGTATTAACTGTTCTATTCTAACACTATAAGTCACAGTTATGTTTAAAAAAATTCTTTAGCTAAAATTAGTAATGCATTACGCTTTAAAAAGGAAACAAATGTAGAAAAAAATGTATAAAGTATTCGAAAAAAGTATTTGAACATTTGTCCCCAGACTATATGATAAACTTTGTTCTGTGGAAATGTATCACACTATTTTTTGCACCAGAAAAAGTTTTTTTCACTTTTACGTTATAAGTAAGCATAAGTAACAAAATAAAGTTCCAAAAAATCATTGCCAATTGCAGAAAAAAATTATTTTTTCGTTATAGTCATTTTCCAAAGATAACTTAGGAAGAATTGCGCTGAAATCCGCCCGCAGCCTTCAAAAATTCGGTTTCTACAGGAATTCCGGATGAGAAAGAGGGGAAACGAAATAATGGCGTTTGCAAACGCATATGCGTCCTCGAATCGGCCATAGGACCCGAGAGACGTCCAAAGTTCGACAAACTGTCCTGTGCAGAAAAGAACAAGAGAGTCTCCGTTGGACAACTGTTCATCAGACAACTGTAATCTCGGAATGGTATATCTTGATCGCAAAAAACGTAGCTAATTCTCTTGACTCTCGTTCCCTCGAAGTTACGTTATTTTTAAGAATTCGGATACATTGGCCGGATACTTTTTTTACATTTTTCGGAGTAAATATTTCGACATCGGTTCAATTCGCAATTTCTTCCCACTTGTATCAGTAATGAGCTGTCGTAATTATACACGGGTTCTCGGAATTTTTTACGTGCGCAAAAGAGTACCTTTAGATTTTTAATCAGCTTTAATTTATTAACATATGTTTTCAGGTCACGCCTTGAATAGCCGCAAATAACCTTCGTATCGGCGTTTCTTCACTCGAGTCCGTGGACGCACTGCGTTTTCCTCTTTCATTCGAAGGGTCGTAAACGCTCTCCAGTTCTTTTAATTAAAATCCATCAACCAACCGTGGAAGCGCGTTATCTGAAAATTTTAATTAATACAGCTCGTGTTCACATTCACGCTCACTCAAACCCGTTAACGAAACTCCAGCAGAGCGTGAAAACAAAAAAAATTCCGTAAAAGGGTTGTTTTTCCACCCCCCGAGTGATAGTGACGTTGTTTTGCTCGCAGATCGTAAAAATATCACTTGACCCGGTCTTCTTTGGACGAAATTGGAGAATAAAAATATTCGCACGACGGCGAGTGGCAGTGAAAATTTTAGGTGCGCCCGAATTGGAGGCAAGAAAAAAAATTAACAGCAAGACTATATATACTTGGATAAACTTGGGTGAGCCGCTAAGAAAATACGCGATTACGAGTTCTCCGAGTCTCAAAGCCTGATGAGAATTATAGTTTTTATTTAGATCACCTGTATCTACATATCTATGGAGAATACATAATGATACTTGAGAAGATTTAAGAGATATGTGAACTATTTTACTTTTTACATAATACGTAGGACGACATAAAAGACCTTTAAATTATTAAAAAAAAATGATAACACATGATCTACTGGAAGAGAAAAAGATTTTTGTAAAAAATGAATAAACGTAAAAAAAAGTCCAAGTTCAGTATATACTGTCATCTGAAATTAGAGTCATATGCTGATACATATACGTATCCAATCACATAACGTCTGTGAGAGCATCATGCCATATTCGTAACTTTAGCATACCAATGAAAAATTCGACTTAACGTAACTTTGAGAAAATAATTTTAGCATCATATATCACCAATGCTATTTTCCATTCATACTGGCACTCTGTCAAACTATTTTTGATATAATCCAACAACAATTCTATTGTACAAACATAAGCTACTTTTTAAAAGTACATAATTAATAACGACAAATCGATACATATAATGGTTGAAGCAACGTCATAAAACCACTCTGCGTGATATGATGACCCAAAAATATGACAAAACAAGTCACTGAAACATTACACCAAAACCCGTACGCTTCCAAGTATTGGAGTGTTAAAACCAACTAATCCACCGTAGGGAGAAAAAAAGAATCCAAAAAATTGAACCCTCTTCTCCGATAGAGACATCGACGCGGTCGCGAGCAAAAGCACACCCATCTCCGAAAACAAGGCCAAGCCAGCCCCACACGTGAGCAATCCCGTGCTCTTTATCGCTAGCCTCTAAATCAAGCTGTGCCGTTTGTAACTCCTCCGCTGCGGCCCGCTTTCGCACCTCTCATCAGTGCACCCTCGCTCCCTTTGGCTCCGGGTCAGGTCGATTTTTCCCGCCCACTGGCGCATGCTTCGTTCCCTCGTTCTCCTTTGTTTTTCTCTTTTCGAATCCTCTCTCGCACCACTCGAGTGGATACATTTCGGCAATACTCTCTGCTACGTGTTACCCCAACGTGGGTGAGTGCACCCTGGCTGGTGAATGCAACCCCCTTAAGGTATGACTAAACAAAAAAACATTCTAGGTCTGCAGGCTTTAAAGTTCATTGTCAAGAATAAATACGACACGTGGGTAATAAAGTATATACTTTCTTGTCTTTCACACTGATATATTATACAGCATTAGAAGATCATTGTGATATTGTTAGATTATCGGGATGATCGTGACACTATGTCAAGGCTGCTAGTGTGTTGTAGCGATGGCATTCAGGCTTGAAAAAACATCGGTCGGAAAATAGAAAAAGAGGTACGAGGATAACAGTAATGCTATGAGTGAAGGTTTGGATCGAGAAACCGGTTCAGCACTCGGAGGCCACAGTGTGTGCTGTCGTGAAACCGAAATCATGAAATTCAATAAATCGATGTGAAACAAAAATTTTGGCCAAAACTCTATCAAATGGAAATTTTACGATATTTCTTTTTATTAACAATGTATTTGTTAGTTTTTCAATGACTTTTCAATTTTTAAACAAACGTATCTTCGTTGATATTCTGGTTAAAGGTTAAAAAAGAACACTACGTAGGAGGTAATGTAAAAGAAAAGTATGCTACAAAGTTTTCCGTATAAAAACTTACGATGAGAAAGTTTTTTGTTTATTTGTAAAATCAATAAATTCCAAAGAGACTATAGAATTGTATTACTAATAACACAGCTACTTCAGAACACGGTAGAAATTCCATATTCCAAGAGCTGAGTCAGTTTCTCGATCCAGACTCTTAATAATACATATGTATGCAAAAAACTAATTTACATATTCCCTCGGTTGTCTGAAGTGCAGCGGAGTAGTCAGTATTGAAACTGACGAGCTGAAAGTGTGTGGATGCAAGGAAAATCGTTTTGTCTTTTTTCAAAATGACTTGTAACACTGCGTTTTTTGCTTACGTGATTATAAATCTGTGCCATTTCGATACGTGGTATGTTTCCGAAGCCACTCCCTTGTCTTTGGACTACGAATTTGTAAAGCAAGAAAATCCTCACAACAGTAATGAAGGGACAACAGGAACTTCTGCTCTCGTCATGTAAATAGTAAAACAGATTTGTGTATGTTTATCATGATTAATTAACGCATCCGATTTCACGAAATTTTACTAATTATTAATTATTTGATAAAAAATTTCTGTCATCGAATATTTCAATTTGATTGTAATTTTTCATAAGAATGTATAGTATACTAATAGTTTAAGAGAGTTGGTGACGTCCAGTCTTTGTCAATCCATTCAATGTCATAGTTCGTCAATAATCTTCATAGTGATTGTTATTTTATGTTAATTTACTCAAAAACAATTATGGAATTTTGTAAAGTTTCGATTAAATATAGAAAGATGAGAATAACTAATCACTTTAAGTGACGAATACCCTAAAGACATGCCAAATCATATAATAATTAGAGCATCTAAAAAACAATTAAAGCCATCAATCTACAACTTTTATATGACTGTGAAAAGTATCAAATATAAGGTTTGTTTTCTGTACATTTCTCTCCCACAGTTTTTTACGATTCCTTGATACGTATGACTTTGATATCTTGTTTCATGCTACCTTGTATATGAGAAGAGTAAAATAATTTCTGACGTTGATACAGTGAAAATAAGACTAGATGAGTATTTATTATCTCAACAAAAACTAAAAAAATCAAGTTGGTCACCAATTTTCTTAAAAACAAATTACTTAAAAACATCGAATATCCAAATTTTATTGCACAAACGAAATCACTAGAGCATAATTTAGACTTTAAATTTTATAACTATTATAATAAAAATTTTATTAATATACTTGTTGTTTCAACTAAATAGAAAAAACGAAGCACGCCTACTTGTGTTGAAAGACGCTGCAAGTAGTAATTTACAAGGCGTTAAAAGTTCTACAACTGAAAGTGTTTATTCAACTCGAGGTAAAAATTATACGCAAGAAAATCAAGAACAGATTAAAACCTCGACATTAAATGGTGGCACAACCAACGAATCTCTTGGTGTTACTTGGCAATATCAAAATAATGAAGTGAGAAGAGAAATGGATACATCCGTGAATATTACACCGGCAGCCCCCACACATGGAATCGTTCAGAAATCTAGTAATGTAGAGGACATGTCAAGTAGAGTTCCCGAGAAAACTATGACTGCGGAGACGACCACACCACAACCGCGCAAACATCATTGGTATAGAGGCGGTAGTGGTGGACATCACATTATACATGCCGCTCGACGTTGTGGTAGTGACGAAACATATGTTCACGGCAAGTGCCGACTCAAAGACTAATTGACAGTTGTTTTTATGACTGTGGCTTGTTTGTGGAAAATTACTTAAAATCATTTTCATCGCAAATAAAATGAACTAATTCACATTACTAACGATTTTTGAAATTAAAAGCCAAGCAACTTTAATACTGATGATGTAGTTTTATCATAGTACTCAAATGTTTTTAATTTGTAAACGTTACTTAAGATTTTAACGACAATTATTGTCGTTATGATTTATGACTGACTTCGAGTATACGAAAAGTGTGTGGACTTGAATAAAAGAAGGATGGATGTTTGAATCTAAGAACTAAAAGAACAAATTAAAAGTAGTATACTTAAAATAGCAAATAAGCTCAAGAAAGCTCATAATTGGAAGATCCTTGGCCATTCAACAAATTTGTATAAAATAATTTTAATCAATCATTAAATATCTTTAAGTTTTAATGCAGGAAAACTCATCGAGGACAAAAAATGTATTCCAGAAAAAATTCAATCCAGAACTTCACTCGGAAAACCAATCGCAGCCCTTCCACCGATTTGATCCCCTTCTCTTGAAAGAGGTCAATCCACTCTCTTGATTAGGGAAAATTTATCGTGTTTAACCTCCTAGTACTCAAAGAAACATGAATTATTTATTTTTAAATGAATGGACATATTTAAAAAAACATCTAGTTTTTTTATAGTGACCCAATATTGTCCATCAAACTAACAATGAATTCCATCAGTTTTCCTAAAATTTTTGTTTTTATAACTAACCTCTTCCATTGTCTCACAGTTTGCACATCAAAAAAGGCGATCTCATTCGACTCCTTTGTCTGCCTGTTTGCTCCACAACTGTACTCATACACATTACAGAGTTTTGCCGGAATCGACTGCTGGTGGAAGGAAACGATTTCGTATTTCCAGAGCCCTCGAGCTGGCAGCAGCGATATGGTCGCTATATTATCTACTGTGTGTCTCTTTTCCTCTCTACCTCTTTTTCGCTTCCCTAACCTCTTTCTGTGTGCTTTTAACGTCTTTGAGGTGGAGATTTTTAAAGAGGGTAGGGTTTGCTTTTCGAGGGAAGGTGCAAATTTTCAAGGAATTGACAATTGCAAAATCTGTACCGATTTTTTTTCAGAAACTTAAAACTGTAATTGATGGATGATAAAATATTAATAAAATTATGATAACTACAGTTACTTATGAATCAAGGTTATGAATAAAATGAGTATACCTATAAGTTTAAAGTCACGTTTTTTCTCTCAATCAGGTAAAAAATTACCGTTTATAAACATATTTATTATTCTCTTATCATTCATTTGTTATTGAGATCTCAATCTTGTTACTTACATTACAACCTAATATTTTAGACTTGACTGCAATACGCTAGATAACGATTTCACTTTTCTACCTGTAAAAGATTAATTATTTTAATTACTTATAAAGCCTGTAAGTATAAAGTAATCCACATGTTAGAAGTACATTTATACACATTTGGATGCTCTATGAACCAAGTTTCGGTCTTGTGATGCATAAGTCGATAGACTAAAACTCTATTCAGCCCAATTGAAAAATATTAAAAATATCCAAGAAGTTCTTATTAGTTTATAAATATTTATTTATACATCTACACATCAGTATAGGACATCTATGAAATAACGTGTGACTATTATGTACAACTAAAACGAACTGATTGGTAAAGGTTTATACCAACTCATTTGTACAATCTGTCGAGTACCAACCGTATTTTGGTCCTCATGCTTTTGATACCCTATAGCTATTCCCAAGGAAAACTGCTTTTTACGGTTTCTGAGTTAACGTAAATTTATCAGATCACGTATACGTTGAGTATAGGACACGATAGAGACGCTACAAAGTGGATTCAGTTTTACGTTTGTGTCATGTGACTAGACTTGATGTACGACCAAGGCTGCAATGGATGAATAACGGCAGATGGATAAGAACAGCTGAGTACGAAAACAACCATGTTGAACGAATGACTTTTTGCAAACATAAATTTTTTTCGCAGAAAAGATGAAGCACCAAAGTAGGATAAACTTCCGTAATGTTGAATGTCAGTTTTTTAGTGTACTTTTTATGGTAAGTTCTACATAGCTAATCAATTATTATGGAGATTAAAGACGTGCAAAGGATTAAATTTTTATGCGTAAGCATGCGAATGTTATAGGATTATATTACTCAGCTCAAAGTGTGTATTTGATTTACGAGGAGAACATTACGAGTCCAGGAAATTTTAAGGAAAGTTTTTTAATTCCTTATCCTCCTAAATGAAAATCTTTCTGAAACTTCTCCTTCGAAGTGTTGTTTTTTTTCCCTCTTCCTCCACGTTCCGCTTGGAGATTGTAATGAATCATCACATCGTATAATTAGGTTGGTACGTGATAACGAGTTTCCGTTTGATTACAGTTCTCGAGCAGTACATTTGTCAGATATGATACTCGGGATACAGGTAAATCAAAACATTAATGATTAATGTAGTCCAAAGGAGGACAAATGTTAGCCATAATCCAAAGCAGAGAAAATTTGATGGTCAAAATTTTGGACCTTTAAAGAAAGCTCGCATCGAAAATAATAGCAATGCCAGAAGCCTCAAAGCCGGAAAATGTAGCACACGAAAAGAGACAATATAGGTCAGACTGTGGTGTATCATAGAAGCCACCAAAAGTAAAGCCATGCATACCTGAAGAAAGACAGAGAAAACAGCAGTGGCTCGGCCACGCATCGATTGGTCGGCTCGCGCGCTAATTTAGGAGGCCCTTGCGGGCTTGCATGAAACCCACCCACAAGCGCACACACCCCCAAAAAAATGGAGCTTCAGAAGGAGGGAGGAGGAATCGATTTCCCGCTCCGACCTTCCGACATCCCCCTCCGTACGCCCGACCTGACAAGGTCTGCTGCTGGCACGCTCGTTTTTCGGCCAGAGTGCTGAGTAAGAGGGACAGAGGATGGTGACCTCGTTTCCTCTTTTTCTCTGTCACTCGCCCTGGTTGTACGTACCACCAGTTCCAATACATTTACGAGCCATTTTTACTAGTCTATATAGTGAGACCCAAAGGTCCTACTGCGGATGTGTATACGAATGTGGAGTATACATATAAAAAAGTGTAAAGCCAGTTTTACGATTTATTGTTACGAACCCCTCGTGTACCGTTCAGTTTACTGTTGTTTCTGCGGTGAAATTATTTGGGTTGCGATCGAGTAGTTCGGATCGTTTCGATTCTTCGCTTGGGCTGACCAGTTTCGAAGGACACATCTGAGATTTCTATCCTTGCTTTTTAGTTGTCGCAAGTATTTGGTTTTGGCCATTGTAAACCCTCTCAAATTTTTTCACAAAATGGATCAGACATTTGATGTGTCTTCGCAGCTCTACAGTCTAAAAATCAAATCGTCAAACAATAAGTGCACTTTTATGTCAGAGGTCGAAGATTGGGTTAGCCAATGGCAGCATCAATATATCTACTATGTAAAGGTAATGAGAGCTGATAATAGCTGATATAAATACTTCAGCTCTGGGATCCTTACGATGCTGTGTCCTTCGTGTAAAATGATCCAATTAGTCATCATCTTTAATGAGAGGGATGATAATGAAACTCGATTGGATGGTCAGGAAAAGAAATATAATCTGTTTCTAGCTGACTTCTCTAGGTGAAGAACTACAAGTGACAGAAAATCATCTGAAATTTTCGTTTGAACGGCGTCAACGAAAGATCTTTTTTGCTATAGCTAATGAAAATTTTCTGTTTATCATGTAGTTGACTCTGGAGAATAATATTTCTTATTATCAATAGGAAAATGTCATTTTTGTTTAGGCAATACAATCAAATACCAAAACAAAACTTGAAAATATAAAAACTGAGGTTAAAAAATGCAATTCCTTGCGAAGCAAGCGCTTTATCTTAACTTTTTTTGGTATCATTTCTCAATTTGTAGTTATCACGATTTATCGTCCTATATCCTATCGTACACCTTCATTATACATTGCGATGAAAGATTCAGCTCGTCTTACCACCACAACCACCTCTATGGATGCTCCAGTTTCCTCCACAAGCGTGACTAACGACGCCGCAGCTGTACCCTGCACCCACACACACTTGCACATTTACACTCATTCATCGTTCTGTTAAGTTCACCGGAGTTGCTGACATGGACCTGTTCTACCGCGTGTAACGAAGATAAAGGGTAGTGCAAATGGTTAATGCTTTCGTTGCCCTTCAGGAGTACGTTTTCGTTTGTGCCTCGTTTTTCGCTGAGATGGATGAACTGTAGAAATTTCATGGGATAGAAAAATTTCGTGATCCATTTTTTAAGCTTATAGTGTACGTCATACTTTGTTTTTCATTTTATTTTCGTTTGCTTGTCTTTTCTAGTATTATTGTAGTAAAAGTAATGCTTTTCCTTTGAGTTTTCACATTTCATGTTACGTTGCTGTAATTGCATTAGAAATTCGACTGTATCGAGGAGTATATAAGCTACATATACGAGTCAAGAATAACATTTTTATACGAGTAGCATTAACTGTTTAACGTTTAAAAGTCAGAATTATGCATCAATGACTTAATTGATAAATTTTAATAAAATAGTGCCTACAAGATTCATGAATTAGAGTTTGATTGTTGTCTTTCTATTCACCGTACCTATACTGATCCTATATCCTTGAGGATTGGCCCCTTGAAACGATTACCGTAGTAAGTAGAGGTACTCGATTAACTTCGTACTACTTTTATAGTGATGTGTTTATCGAATGGTATCAGCTACCGTTGGGACTGTTTTCTCAGCAGTTGGACGATTAAAAGTGATCGGTGGCTGGACTAACGTACAGTTGACGAATCTTACGATGCGAGTAAAAAGTGAGCACAACTGTATCTGTATCGATTTTTGCTGGCATTGGTCTTTTGTACATTCTCTTGCCTACTTTTACACCATAGCTTTGTACCTCATCTTTGGAAAGTAGCACCTATCATTCTTTTATCTTCTGCACTTGACAGCTCAGTAGACGAACAATGGTAAAAACGTGCTACTACCCACGCGATAAATGGAACGAGGCAAAAACTGCAGTTTCTTCCACAGCTAAAGAAGTATGTAAGTTGACTAGATA